CTTTTTAAGTTCTTCACCATAAGTGATGGTGGCTGGCGGCTGGATGCTGACTGGTAGCTCCTGCAGTCCTAAAAGCATCTCAGAGATACCAATGAAATACTGTATTCTGAGAGACAAATCAGGGTGAAGTCACTGCCACCCTCAAGAGAGCAACATTTGAGAAAAAAGTTTGATGGGCTCCAATTTCTCAACATCAAACAGGATTTTAAAAACAATCAGTGAAAATCACCAACATCTAAAAGGTTCCAAATGTCACCAATGCTGTGTAATTGTCTCATTACATTTCATTCCTTCTGATCATATTTAACATTGTACATTCAGGACAATTTTCCTGAATGAGAGGCCCTGATATGACAAGTAGAGAGAGAAAACTTGTGGTTCTCTTTTGTGATCTTCTGTTCCCAGGGATTTTATCTCATGAGATTGCACGGACTTGTTCAGAAGTGCTGCTCCTTGCCCATCCCCATTATTTTCATTTTAAACAGATATTCTGTACAACTGATCAACCTTGTTGTACAAGGTTGTACAACAATCTCAGTTTTGTTAACCATGGTCTGTGATTTCTTCAGCATTTAGTTCCATGATCTCAAATGTCTCATTTTCTACCTCAGCTCCACTTTCTGCACTATTTTATAACAGATGAAGACTTAAATTACTGATATTCTTGAGATACACTTTACATATAAAAACTGGAAGTTCCTTAGTTTTGTCTAGCTGTTATCCATGCTTCTGATTTAAATAAATATTTTATAATTTGGGTAGTCTATTGTGTCTGTTGCATGTTTTGTAGGAAATAGTATCATCTATCAACTTGATACAGTTGTTCTTTTCCAAAAAAAACTTTTACAGTTTACATTTAAATTCTCCCTTTTTTCACCTCTCTCTGCCGGGTGTTATTAGTAACCACACCACTTCCTATGTCAAGAAAGTGACTAAAGTTTATGTACATTCACTAAATCTAGTTTATGAGCTCTCAAGTATTAGGAGATTAACAATAGTAACTCCCATGGACAATTGCATCTTTATACCTGATCTCTCACTGGCATTTAGAAGTCTCCATTTATATACAGAAATTTATTTATATGTTTATAATGCACATATAGATACTTGTATACATAGATACACATACATATATTAAAATGAATTTAATATTTCATATCCAGAAAGAAGAATGAAGGTGAAAAGCTCCTGTCAAGTATCTAAGTGGGCTTCTTTTTGCATCAAGGTAACAGGCAAAAATGTTTGCATCAAGGTAACAGGCAGTTAGAGACAAAGAGAAGTGGAAATAAAGAGGTCAAATTCTTCCTACAGTGTTTAGGTTTCTAAACACAACCTGAAAATAACATGAGAGAAACAAGTAGAGACTTATTTATTAAGTTCTTCTATTATTTAAGCTTTTGTGGGTGTAAGTTTTTTTAAATTTAATTTCAGTAGTCAGATTGTTCACTTTTCATGAGCTAAGGCAAGAGGGACATTAGCCTGTGCAGTGAAAAAAAAAATGCCTATAATTCCACTCTGCACAAACTGAATACAAAGAGCATAAATAGAAAAGCACCTCTATCATCAGAGACATAAGGATTCAGAAACACACTATAATGCTGAATGAACAGAGCCAGAGGTTTCACATCTAGTCCTTTCCACATCTAGCTCTTTCCAAAAGCTATAGAAAAGACAGAACAGAAGGCTAATCTGTGGCCATCATCACAAGTTCTGCCACAGTTAATAAGTTTACATTAGATTTAAAAACAAGTTGAGTCAACATATCCTTTGCTCTCTATGTGTTTTATTAGAACTAGTATATTGAATGACAGAAAACAATAAAGTTTTTCTTTAATTTGTTACACTATTTCTCAGAATATATTTTAGGCCTAGTAAAGATTTACCATTCACCATGTACCAAAAATGCTATTAAATAGCTACAACATGATGTAGATAGCAGGATGTGGTGGTCCCAGTTTTCATCTGGAGTGTGCAGACAATCAGCTGTGGCATTCACTTTGCAATGTCAGTTTATACTTTCTTTCTTCTATTTACTATGTGCATCCCAAAGATGGATTAAAATGTGATTAAGAGAGATCAACAATAGTTTGTACTCTCTTAGTTTCTCCTTAAAGGGTTAATTTTGCTGTCTAGACTTTTGTTTGGTAGTATAACTTGCAAAATAAAAACTTCTGTTTATGTCAGAAGAGGTCCTTTGAAGAACTGCATGAGGATCCTCATTTCTGCCAACATTTAAGTTTATCTATTGTGGTGGCTTCTCTATCTTCCATTGTGGAACATCCAGACCTGAACGTTCCTCATAGAGGAAGAAAATGCCAGATGCCTCCTGCTTTCAGTATGACTCTGTGTTAACTTGCTCATTGTACTTCTTATAAAGGTGGGTACTCCAGATTTGTTTGTCACACTTTAATTCATAACTGTAGGTTTTGTGTGACGGGTACAGTAATAACAACATTGTAGTGTGTTTTGATACTGTCCTGAAAGCCTGCAATAAGACCGGTACAGATTTGTAATAAACAAATTGGCTTTGGTTCTCAGATTCTTCAAATGATAGGATTCCTGATCTCCAGTAAAAACTCAGCTTGTTTTCAATGTGTGAAACAGATTTGTGGAGTAGTTTCTTACTTGATTGTCTGAAATTCTCTCTGGATTCTGGAGGGAGTATCTTCAGGATATTATACTACACATAGACTAGATTTAAAGCTTAAAGGGAACCCTTAATTAGTTTTAAGCTCCCATGTGACTTTATTGCTAGGATTAGAGGTCTGAGTGCTTCTGTATTTTTTTGGTAACTGTTATTTACACCAGCATGGCACTCACACAGTGTGTCACACAGAATATCCAGATGTGTGACACAGTGCGTCCCACACAGCCTGTGTGACACACAGCCTTCTGTGTCACACAGAAGATCCAGATAAGAAGTTGCCAGGAACTCCTGCAGCATGTGCCCTCTCTTTATACCTAGTAATCTTGGACCAGCTCTTTAGCATACATCTCTTGCACATTTCTTCCCTCACACTGATAGCTCTCTCCCTCTGACATTTCCATTTGCATTTTCCCCCCTCTCTTCATTTTTCTCTTTTCAAATATAGTTTTTCGTGCTCTTCACCTCCCACCATCCTACTGTCTTCTCACCTCAGGAGGAAGGAGAACCAGGTTGCCTCCTCACCAGCTTCCTTTTTGTCATGTTTTTTTCTGACTCCCCACAAGAAGAAGAAAGGGGTCTGCAGATTTGGTAATTGCTGTCCACTAGAACCAGTGAAGCACGATCTGCTGACAACTGGAGCAAATAAGAGACATTCTGGTGAAGTAGCAAACACTAGTGGTTGATAACAGCATGGAAACTACTGCTTTTTGTTTGCACACGTTTTACATAAACTGCTGTTCACAGCAGCCAGGGATTCACATATACCCTTGCTGAAACCAGACAGAGAATACATTTCCCCACCACTGACCAGATTCTAAACCACAAATGATCTCTGGGTATCTGCGTTTCTGGTTGCCTTCTATGAGATATCTTAAGAAGGACCAGATCTTCAGAAGCTAGTACTCAGGTCATTTAACCACTGGACCTGGCCCACTGGTTGTAGTAGCACACCCCAAATTTAAGTCATAACACATCACTGATCACTTTTGCACATGAAAAGAAAGCCTGCAGCTTGCTAGCAGTTACTTTAGATGAAAATAAACCAGGAAATTATTGTAATTGTACTTGTGGCTCCCTGTAGGTCATTTCCCTTTTACTCCAGCTGAGAGTCACATGCAAACCTTTCTAGTCCTTTTTTACATAACTGTTTGTTCTTCATACACAAAACTAATTAGCTGTACATACAATGTGGATTTCTAAGTATAAATTTAGTTGTTCTACTTTTCCACTGGAAACCTCTCTTTTTCCCCAAGCCCTTCTTGGGCATCATCCTTCTGCAATAGAGCTCTCCCAAACTTTCTCCCAGCACTTTCCAGGAACCACCTGAACGTTTCCTAACTCAGTATGATCTTATCTCCGGGCAAGCTGGCCCCATGACTTCACCACCCAATAAAAATCAGGCCTGCAATTAAATCAGGACTTCAGGACAGCAACAGAAAAAGCAGTTTTCTGTGAATTCAGAGTTCAATAGTTACGTATATTAAACCCCTTACAACTCCCTCAAATAGTTTTGTGCTAACTCTGGATTTTCTATATCCTTGTGGTGTTCTTCAAGATTTCACACTCAGAGCAGTGGGAAACCAGGGCTGTCCATCCAAGTCTTGCTTTTTACTGCTTGGTGATAGAACAATGGCTCTTTCTAGGTTTTCTGAGAACATACACAAAGGAGGCCAGCAAGATTTTATGACATTTTTGTGGAACTGTGAAATAAATAAAAGTGTTTGGGTGAATTTTTTTGAGTGTCACTGTAATACAATATTCAGCTAAAAAACGAGAAGCATTTTATTTCATTTAATTTCATTCTCCACCATGTGGATCAATTAGTAATTGGATACTACAGATGTGAATATGCAGTGATGACTCAACTGTGGAATTTGAGATTGTCAGTAACAGTCTGTAATGCATTACGTGGGCTTAGCTCTGCCCAATTCCATCAGGAACAAAATGGCGAAAAGCCTTATTATCCTCAATGCTAAAAAAATAAATATATACAAACTCACCTTTGGCTATTTTCATGTAGTCATCTCAAAGCCATTTATGGAAATATTGTGTCTTTTAATTTTGCTTGAGAAGATAAATCCAACATATTTGCAAAAGTGATACTTATTTTGTCAGGTAACAGGAATGATACCATCTCTGTCTGTCTGTCGCTGCCCCTCCCAGGGTCCCCCAGGCACCGACCCCGGCTGGCGGCACCGAGCGCTGACCCCAGCTCCTTGTGCCACAACCGTCCCAGTCACCAGCGTCCCAGCTCTCCCCAGAGGCCTAGCACCCCCAGTCTGAAGTAACAAATGACTGACTGTAGGGTCACTTCAATCCTAAAAAAGGTAATTCAAATGCCAAAACAAAAATATGAAGGGCAAATGTTTGCTCTTTATTCACTTTATGAATACTGCATACATATTGGAAAAAAACCCAAACAACACCAAATGGTTGTAATACCAGTCCTTAATTCTTAGCTCCCTGCTGCAGAACACCAGGAAAGGTTTTTCTGTTGTGTTTATTTTTTATTTTTTTTAAATAATCTGGCAATATAGTGGCCCTTGTTGCTGATCTTCCTCGCCTCCAAATAAAGAAGCCTAAAGATTCTCAGTTTAGCCCTCATTTGAAAAACAAAACAAAACAAAACCCAAAAACAAACAAACAAAAAAAAGCAAGTGAAGGAACAAATGCTTTTCTTAACACTTAGTACTCAGTCCCACAACCAGTTTATACAGAGAGCGCTTCATTCCTGAAACCCCATGAATGAGGCTCACAATCAGACAGTTAATGGGAAATACAACTGACCAGCCACTGTGAAAATGAGCAAACTATTTACTTTGTACAGTAAACAAAGCCAAAGTTGTTCTATCAGTTGCAAAGGCAATGAAGCTTTCTCAGTTTAAATTCATATCCACAGAATCCTTTGATTTGGGGAACTTTTTGCACGTGTTAAAAAACAACAGAAGCTGCCAGATGTTCCACGCTTTTCAAATCTAGTCCTTATTTAGCAGCTATAGAACCATGAGTTCAGAAATCTGGGGTTTATGCTGCTAGTTAAAAGGCAAAAAAGCTCCATGGGTTCTCGTTATGAACACTGTTGTTTTTTTTTTTTTTAAGTTTTCTACCATATACCAGCACCCTCTTGCTTTATGCTTTACAGCTATGCTGCTTTTGAGGCAGTTTCTTAACTGCCTGACTTACGTATCTAGAACTCAATTGCTTATTTTAATATCACAGTCTAGCTTTATCCTGATTCACTGTGATGCCTTTTCAAAATATTCACTTATGAAAACGTAATAATAATGAAAAGTGTAAATTTTAAATTTACCCAAGTATTACATTAATATTATTTTCCATCCTATGAACTAAGATTTCTTTATCCACAGTAGGAACTGTTGGTGCAACCATGCAGCTGCCTGCATGAAGTTAGTTCCTATTTGTTGTCTTGAGACCCACTGACATCGCAGTTCAGAGGAGGCTGTCCAATACATGACAAGTAACTTACCTGAAGAGGTTATTCTTCTATTCTGATTACATTACTCTTCTGTGCTGTAAAAATAAACTAGTAAAAAAATAGAAATGGACAGATATGACTGACAAACAGGGCAGTGTAACTATACAGGCACCAGTGATCTTGGCCAGCAGAGACTGGTAAGCTGATGATTACATAAGTCACCTCATTTGATGTGTTGCTGAGAAAACAGTGATGTTTACCTGCACTGGGCTATTCTGAAACACATATAACCTATGGCACTAGGAAAAAATACACAATCATGATGGGATATGCAGATTACCGAAAAGCAAGTTTCACATTTAGAGTATTCAAACACCATTTGCTTCTGTGTTCTGAGCAAGCTGGGAAAAATTCTGCTATGAAAAAAAGAGTGCTACGTTTTGCTATGAAAAAAGAGTTCACTTGATGGTACAGAAAATATGGAATTAAACTGCAATACTGCAGATTGTTAGCAATAATTCAAACTTCTATTTTCAAATTAAAGGATTGAGTGGACATAACTTCATTCATTTCATAGTATTTTTTCTATAGTCTCAATGCTAGTTTACCTGATAGTGCAGTATTTACCTGATAGTGCAGTATTTTATTATGACTTTTGCATCTGGAAACTACATACATTTTAAAGAAATGTAATACAAAAGACACAACTACAATCACTGCAAAAGTTGTTTCTATTAAGGTACAGGGTTCCAATTTCAATAAAAGGAAGGGCTACTTTAATTCCATGTGTACTGAGACCTTGTCTTCAACTACACTTAACAAATACACCCTAATAAATTTAAAGAACCAAACAACAGCAGAAGCTAACCTTACAATAGAGACCAGTTCTCTACTACTGAAATTTGTATTTTCCTGATTTGTTAAAAAAAAAAAAAAATTGGTCCACATACAAAGTAAAATAGGTAAGTCTAAGCTGAGCAAACTTGTCCTTTTTATTCAGTTCCAGTTGTAGCAGTCTCTTGGAGGTAAATCATAATGCGTTCTCTCTTCCTCTTCAGGTCCATAATCTAATGGCAGACCATAATTGTAATCAACTGTTACAACTGGTAATCTTTTGCTTTGTTCCATCTCTCTGGTAGTTTCACCTTGAAAAGGTTTTCCTTCATACCCTATTGAACTATCTTCTTGGTGTACGGATGAAGATGGATACATTGTTCGTGAAGAATATGGTGCAAATCTGTTTTTTCCTCTATTAAATTCATCTGAGGGATGCATTCTCCTATGGTCTTCAGGACAATTTGGTCGATTACTGTAATAAGAACAAATAAGAACGGTGAAATCCTTAGAAATAAAACAGTTGATTTGTTGTTGGTGGCCACCATTAGACATTAAACTTGTATAACCCTGAAAGAACAATTCAGACCCTCAATCTTGTTTTTACCCCCTAAAATTAACAATTCTCTCTACCAGACGTTGCAAACTTGTTTATATTAATTTTTCAATTCTAGCAATTAAAATTATGGCTCTTTATATTAAGTAATTCTACTAAAAGATTGTTTTTTTTCAAGTGCTGTTTCTAGTTAAAATTCCCTATTTACTGAGGATTTCTTTACCTAGGGGCCCTTTTTGTTCCTAAACACATAGTCTAATTTTTGTGGATAATATGTAATAGCAGCTCTCTAGTACATAGTTTAACAGGCAATAATATACTTTGGACTTATAGCTCCAAATATTTTAATTCTTTATTATTCTGTAATAGGGGATTTACTCTCCTACAAAATATATATGGAAGGATCTTCCTCTTCTGTCTTGAGGATTGCTTTTTAAATTAAGTTTCTATACAAAACAAAGTGGAACAAAGAGTTTTGTTTCAAGTTGACTCTAAAAAAGTAAAGGAAACACATAAGCTTTAAATAAGTGCAACCTAGAAAAAATTTCAAAGCTGCAACACTCCAGCTTACATCAAACCCTTCCATATGTCAAAATAAAGAGTTAATTAACTGATCATTTATATATTATTTTAGAAGGATGATTAATTTATTTCAAATTAATTTATTTTTTAAAATTAATTAATTATAAGTGCTGAGGCTTACACTTTTATTCTAACTCTGGTCTTACAGCTCAAGGATGCTTTACCTGTCTGAACACCATTCACGTGGCAAGTCATTGCGACCTGGATGATCATGAAAAGGTCTTGGCCTTTGTCCATGCCCTTTATTAACATAATCAAAGTCTTTTAACTGAGTCTGTTCCTGTAAGTCATCATAAGGCTGATGGTCATGAAAAGGTCTGCGCCTTTGTCCAGGACCTTTATTATCATAATCTTTTAGTTGTATCTCTGTTTGTAAGTCATTGCAAAGCTGGTGATCATTAAAAGGTCTCAACCTCTGCCCACAACCCCTATTACCAAACTCAAAATCTCCCAATTGCATCTGTGGCTGTAAGTCATCATGTGATTGATAGTCACAGAAAGATCTTAGTCTTTGGCCAGGACCTTTGTTGACACAATCTAACTCTTTCAACTGTATTTGAGCCTGAAATTCATCACAAGACTGGCGGTCATGGAACGGTCTTCGTCTCTGGCCACAGCCCCTGCTACCAAAATAAAAATCCTTTGACTGTCTGTCTTCCTGCAGATCATTACAAGATGGATGGTCAGGAAAAGATCTCTGCCTTTGTCCACGGCCTCTGTTAAATTCAATGCCCCCCAGTTGTCTCTCTGCCTGTAAATCATCATGAAATTGGCGTCCAGGAAAAGGTCTCAACCTTTGTCCAGGTCCCCTGCTATTGAAGTCTAGGTCCTTCAGCTGCATGTCTTCTTGAGAATCATCATAAAACTGATGATCAGGAAAGGGTCTTCGTTTCTGTCCTGCTCCCCTATTATAGTCCCAATTTCTCATCTGCATTGGTGCTCTTAAATCATCCTGAGTCTGACGGTCATGAAATGGTCTTCGTCTTTGTCCAGGCCCCTTATTAATGAAATCAAAATCTCTCAACTGCATCTGTCCTTGCAAATCATTGTGACAGTGGTCATCATAAATTCTTAATCTTTTCCCAGACCTGTAAAGAAGTTTTTATCTTAAACAGAACATCATACTTCTAAGTGCTACAAGTCATTAATGAAGCCAAGTTTTTTTAACTAAGAATTGATATGAAAAACATTACAAATGTATAGGTATCAAAGCTACTAAGAATCCAAACTGTAAGTAAAACTAAAACTTGATGTCATAGCTGTGACAAACGTTAAATTGTAATTCTATAGCACTTGTTAAACAGTCAAAACCAGTGATTCCAAATTAATTTAAAATATTTGCAAATTAAGAATAATTGTAGAATAATAAAGAAGGACAGGCAAAGTAAAACTCTGAATTTTTCCAAGTGAACTTATTACAGACTTCTAATAGCACACATTCCCTTCCTTTCCTTTATCTTTTCACTGTTTCTTCAAATCCTGTAAATATGTTTTGCATGAGTAGGCTATATTAATAAAATTTCTTTTAAATTAGAGTATCTATAGTGTTTTTAATAAGAAACAGTTCTCTTTCCCACTATGTGGTTTTTTTGGCTTTTAATTCCATGTTTCAGACTATTACCCCTGAAAATCTTCATTTGGGAACCGCTCTGCAGGTGGGGGTGGAATAATTTCTTCATCTGAATCCCATACATCCATTCCAAGGTTACTAAGAAGAATAAAAACATCTCACATAGGTTTCTTTTTTTAAAACATACCATTGAGAGAGGAAAAAATCCCACATGAAATTCTTCAGTTTAGAATTACAGAAATTTTTGTATGTTAAGTTAAATTTACAGACATTCATAACTTAGAAAATTTTAATCTTGTAAATTCATTTGGGAAGGGCTGCAAAGAAACAAAGAGAATACCCAAATTTCATAAGCTTGGAACACCATCCTCAAGGATGAGAGACAAGCACTATACGTATTCAAAAATCTGGCATAGGACTAAATTAGTCACGCACAGACTATAAAACAATGATAGCAGTAAACCAAAGGACATTCCATAAACTAAAAAGACACAAATCAGTCAGGTATTATTTTAAAATCAATTTACTGCTACAAGATACCATTGGCACACATAACCAAGGAAGATCTAAAGGTTAGCTATTCATAGGTGAATATGATAAGCATAACATTCTTACACACCAGTGATACAATGACTATGAATAGAGGAGTTAAGAACAAACTTCCACTTCCCCATACTTTTTTATTCCTAAAACTGTTGTACCTTTTTTTTTAAGTATTTGGTTCTACCATGCCAACAACAGCGGACATCATAGAGCTTATAAAAAAAATCTTTCCTCTTAAAATGAGAGAATACAGAATTAATACACTTTTCATAGTATGATAAAACCACACCAATGCTCAATAGTACATCAGATTAAAAAAAATCTTTTGAATCATATAAATTGAAAAGATGGAACACAGGAAGTACACTGCACTTCCTGTTATTCATATCAGAAGTCTTACAAGACACATGAAGTTGCACATTAAAGGCTTAAGAGGGGGTTAATTTTGGCTTATGACTAGAAGTGAACTTTTCAAAATACCAGTAGACACACTGGAAAATCTTAACCATACAACTAAAAGCTTTTGTTTACCTTCTCATCGGTTGTGTTCTGAGATCTGTGAGATACACAAGACCATCCATGCGATGACCTCTAGCATCACCAAAAGCTACAGAAAAAAATGATACAAGTCTAATGAACTGTGCTCAACTGAGCCACAAAAATGTGAAAGGCAAGTTTCTGTTCACCATGAGATGCTGATTTTGAAACAATTATAACTTATAAACTTTATATTAAATACTTCAGCAGGCTGGCAATGTTGCAGCTTTTGGTTGTTTTTTTTTTAACAACTGAAACTAGTAGTGGTAGCAACCTATGACTGAAAACTCTTCAAAGCAAAAGGAAAACAAAAAAAGACTCGAAGCAGCTGAAACATATTCCTACTATGCTGTCAATTTGCTAATCCTCAAGCCTTGCCTGGAATAGAATCAACAGTCAGAGAAAATCTTCTATGGAAGCCAGCACATTAAATAAGGATACTAAAATAGAATTGTAGTATTTCTGAATACAATTGTAGTAATTGTGAGTTACATCCCAACATGTACCTTAGTTCAAACTGTATAAATACCTTGAATTGCTGTCTCTGGATCCCAGCCTTCAACATCTATAAGATATCTGAAGAAAAATATGATTGGATTATTGTCCTAAAGGGATTATAGGTTAATGAAAGGACACTATCTTTTGTGAACAATGATTTCTGATTTTATACAACCCTTACCTACATATAAGGTAGCCAGTTCTATTAATTCCATTAGTACAGTGAACGCCAATAAGTTTCTCTATCAAAAAGGAAAACATAGTCTTTAATAATTCAGAAAGTGAATTTACTAAAAGATTAGTGCAAGAAAAAAAAAGCTGTACTTTTCGAGCAAAGTAATGATAAATAATGATTGCTATTTACAAAATTATACTGTCACGCCTGTAAAAGAACAGACACATCCAGACTTTGTCCTCTTCATGCTGGATCTCTAGCGGCAGTTAGCTCACTACTTCCAAACCTGTGAAGACTGAGATTAACGCTGCAGAATGCAGGAAAAAAGAAAGAAGAGCGATGACAAATAAAGTGGCTGGCCTCAGCCAGAACTGCAGTAACAGGAGAAAAAGAATAAAATATGGTTTTGAAAGCAAATCTAAACAAGTACATGTAGAATTGAGGAACTTAACTTAGATTCTCGTAAACCTTACAAAAAGGAGGAAATAAACACCCCTTGTGCCTTGGAGTATGAAATACATTACTAGAATAATTCATCTAAGTTAACTAAAAATTTGGATCATTATTGAGGAATGCAATAATAGCAATGGGGAATTTAGGTTCATGCATGGAGAAAAGAAGCACTCTAATGGGAACTAGTAAGCTCTAAAGAAAATCTGTCTTTTTTGGAACGGTTATACTAATCAGGTAAAGGCTAAAAAGCAGAATAATTAACTATCGAGACATTTCCAACAGGGAAACACAATAGGGAAACACTACTATGGTCATGCAAGGCACTGATAGAACCTCATCCAGACTAGTCCAAACAATTCCAATTACCCGTATTTAATTTAAAAAAAATAAATAACATTGAAATATGTGATTTGGAATTTTAGATGACAAAACTTTAATCATCAGAAAAACAAAGTTGTGGCAGAGATTAAGTAGTAACAGATGGTCTTTGAAATGGAACTGTGATTAATTTTTGAGTGAGATAAAATATAACTGTTTGCCACAGAATAGTCACATTGCCATATAAGTTTAAGTTGGTGTCCTAAAAGTTCAGAAATTAAAAGACTCTAGCTTCTCAAAAATTATTTGTAAGAAGAATCCTGAGAAACTTTAGGGGTAATTAAATCAGAAAGCAAGTTGCAATGAGTAAGTTAATATAAAAATGAAAGTTCTCCCAACTCTGAAGTGATATAAGCCCTGCCAAAATGGTCTCACTAGCTGGAACTACAGGCCTTCATACAGTAACAAATTAGGAATTGATTTTCTCAATGCTGAGAATCGGAAATAATTAGATTCAAATACAGACTATTCTTTGTCACACAAAAAGTCACTAGATCAAAACCAGAAGAAAACTAATAATCTCCAAGTATTTTCCCTAAGCCAAAAAAGAGCAAAGGAAGAACTTGCACACTAATTTCCTGAGCAAGGACAAAGGCTTCCTCTTATACCTTTTAATTTTCTCAGCACTTCTAATTCAGGCTCTCATACCTGCGATTCATAAAAGGCTGTCAGTTACAACACTAAGCTGATGGTGGACAATTGGGTCAGACAGATGAAAGCCTTGTTGCGGTTGCTTTGACACATATGGCAAATATAAGTATTAGAAAGGGCATTTAAGTTAGTAGTCATTTTTGAAAAAGACATGCTTTGAAAGCAAAATGATATGTAGTGTTTCACATAATGTATCTTATGATAGCAAAGTGGAAAGTGCTATGGAAAGTCTGAGATCCCTGGTGCCTTACATATCTGCTAAAATTAATAAACAGTACTGCGAGCACTGAAATAAAATTTTTGGGTTTTTTACAGCATAAAATGCTGATATTTACCATTTCCTGCATTCTCCCATAGGAATTTTCTGACCCATTTTTTGAACTGCAGGATAGTAGCATTATCAGGGACTTCAAGTCCAACTGTATAAAGTTTCTTATACTGCACGCTTTTAGGTAAATCCTAGGAACAAGAAGGGAAAAAAAAAAAAAGGTAAAAATCATTGATTTCTTGCATCAATGAAAAACCTTAAGCAGTATCTAACATAACGCCAATGGAAAACAGTAGTTCAAATCCTGAGTAGAAACTGAAAACAATCTTGATGCAATTCTATAGAGATACACTCCCAGAAACTACCATTTACATTGCCACTTTAAAGACCTGATCTCAAAGAAAGAACAGTTTTTACAGAAGATGTAGCACATTGGCTAGAGACAAGATTCCTGTAATTCCATTCAAATCCAGTTTACAATTATTAGCAATATTTGTCCTTCCCAACCACAATCATATATATACTCACATATTCACCCCCTTAACGCTTACAGCCTGTACACATTGAAAGATTAACATTCAGTTGCAACGCTGCTATTTATGCTCCTTTTCAATAGGAGGCTGATTAATCACAATTGTTTGAATACTGATAAAAAATTTGAAATTAATAGAGTAGTTTAAAAACGTACACTTTCTTAGTGGATTCCACTAAAGATCAGTGACAAAAAAGATGCTTGGAATAAACAAGAATGTCTTCAGGGCACAGCCTGTAAATCTCCTGCATCTTTTCTGCAGTGCCTGGCACTAAAGTCTTTATCCATTACTCTTGAGTTCCTATAATACAAACAAGCCGCAAATACAACTAGCTGGGAGACGGAGTTACTTCCCCTGTGATAAAACATTTAGCTTCTATTGGAGACACAATAAAGGTTGCAGAAACTGATTAATTTTGTTATTATGCTTATATTACCTTAACTTCATAGTATCGTGTGGTATATGTTAAATCAATAATTAATCCAAGCTCCACATTTAGGCCTTTCATTGCAGCAATTAAATCTTTTGGTGTAAATTTCTGGGTTGGGGTAAGCCTCTGGTTAATTGCCTACAATTAAAATGGAAAAGAGAGATTTTCTTTTTAAGTTATAGTAACACAACGTGTAATAGTCAGCTGTTTTAATTAGGACTAGGAAATATCAGTGTTCAGAAGGGAATGTTTACAGTATCAGAGCCATGTCCATGCACTATACAGAAAAAAAAAAAAAAAGGAGCCAAATAAAAAGCAAGAATTCGTTGTGTATTTCTATTAAGATGAAAATGCAAGACAATATGTGAGAATTTTCACGTGTACATTGTTAACAAACATTATTAAAATAAGCACTAATTTGACAGGCACAAAAATCCTGCAATATCCAGCATGTGTATACTGATCATGTATTGCAGATAACTAAACATCAGCAAAAAGTAAACCACTACAATCCCCTTTTCCCCAAGCACACTTTGTCCTGCATGATAACAAAAAATTAACAGTGTATTTGATGTAAAATATTTGAAGTTGTGACACAAGAACTCCTTTCTTCTAAAGGTTTTAACTCTTTTCCCACAAATGTGCAGCCATTCCTAGTCCCGCTTTGTCTCTTGGCAGAGTGTACCTGCATGTCATTTAGCACTGGAAAAGACTAAAATACAGTGACTAAGAAAGCTGCATGTTGGTGCGTAATGAATAATAACTTCATTTGCCATAACCAGTGGGAAAAATGTTTACTCACCCTATTGTAGCTGTGTTTTTTGAAATGTGTTCTTCACTCTAGGTATGAAAATGCCTCATATACACAAGACTGGATTTTCTCTGAATAGAGCACTCACCCATTGTGAGAGCCTTTTGACATAGGTTCAGCCATAACTAATTAAGACAGTGGCAAAAGGTACAGCAGCCTCAACGACCTCTCAGTTCCTTTGTCAACAAGATATTCAAGCAGACTGGACTCAGAACTGATGGAAAGGAAAGCAGTCACAGACCACATACCTCTCAGAACCACACGTGCAATAAGGCAATTAACCGTTCCTTCTTTTGACTGTACAGATCATAATCTAAAATGCTAGCAAGCACTTATCCTGTCCCTGGAAACACGGACAGGAAACCAAATTAAAGAGCAGAAAGTCCTATCAAAACTGGTCACCATGAAGTTTAAGCTAAAAAGAGTAGGATAGAAAGCATATAGAAGTATTCAGTCCTGTGTATTTCAGATACTGGTGCACCGCTGAAAAAACAGTGGACGCTGGTTGAGGTTCAAACAAAATGAGCACGAGTCAGTTATTTCACCCGCTATTCAGCAGTGACTTTTAGTAAAATCTGAAACTGAATTTACTAACTTTGAGGTGACAACAGTAAATCTGCAAAATATCTATGGTAGAATGTTCCTGATTTTTTTCTTTTATTATGTGAAATCACACAAACTGAGGTGGAATACAATTTTCAAAAATAAGGTATCTCTGGACATATTGCTTGATTGAGTAAACGCGTTATGATAGACTATGTTTTGAAAGACTACGTGGAATTTTCTGAGAAACTCCTGCTCTGAGAATGTGGGAAATCTGTAGTCTTTGATTTCCATAAAATTATATTTTTGCTTACATTACCTAGATTGTTATTCATATCATAAGCCCTTCCATATGATTTTCTTACAACAGTCATGAAAAGCTGTTAAATAAGATAATGAATTTAGGCCACAATAGTGATCAAATGAATTGTGCTGATTGGTTAGAGATTTTATGAGTTTTAAAAGGTAAATAAAAAGAGTAACACCAAATACAAATTTTTAAAGAAAGATAAAAAATATAGAATATTATGTCAAAAAACCACTAGTAGATGACTGGAAAGGCTAAATCTGAATAAATTATTTTTTAATAAAACTTTCCTGAAGTTTGCATGAGTATTTATGTTCTTCTTTATTACTTTTGCACTATAGCTAATAAAGCCAATCTGTAGTTACTTTTTATACATACCCCTTTTAAAGGTACTTTGAATGCAATAAATCTAGTTCCTGGTATAGGTTGTCCAACTGGTGTCAAACTCCGCCATCTGTAATGAAACAAATAGTTACTTCTAAATATCTTTTACAACTACAGTAGAATTATGTCCCTAAATCTGGAATTATTCTATGAAGTGGTTTCAAGGCATTGTGAGGATGTTTGAAAAGTCTTCTTCCTTCCTTCTTCAACTTCCAAGAAATTTCTCCCCTCAAAATGGCAGGACAGCATTTATAAGCACGTAGCACCAATATGAAGCAAAGCAGACGGGCAAAGTTCAACAGGTAAAAAGGTATTCTTATAGTTGGTGGAAGTTTTTCAACTTAGCTCAATCAAACATATTTTAAAAGTTGTCATATGATTGCATCAATCATTTAATTGACAATGAAATGCAAAGTTTACTTTTATTAAAAATACAGAGCTTCTAGTTTTGCAAATGCACTTACTTTGTAAGATGCTTATTTTTCAAAGAAAGACTCTTAACTACTTTCTCTTGGCACTTTGAAAAATACAGAGAATATTCTACCACACCAAAACCTAGCAAAAATCACCTACTAATAGGAAAGCATTAAATATAAAATGTATATTTTAAAAGTATATTAAAAAATTAAGTATACAAAGTATAAAAATAAGTTCTCTTATCTTACATTTCCATGTACAGCAATAATGTGTCCAGTATTCCAGGGTAACTAAAACTAGTACTGAGCTCAAGCCATGAATTCAGAATGATTTTCATCCAATAGTTAAAAATCACTGTTAGTAAAACAGTGTAAACAGGTATATATTATTCTCTGCACATGCACTTCAGAACTGAACCTGAGTTTATGAAATTATACCAACAGTAAGATTTTGGATGCTGATGCACAAATGCATAAATCTGTAAAAACATCATAGTATTTTATGACTGTTTGTTAATGTAACTTGAACTCTTTTTATTGGCTGGTTCTCCACTAAAACATTGCAGTATACAACTACTGAAGGACAACAGCATTTCAGACACTGTGAAGAACCAGAACTTGACTACATGGTGTAAACTCCACTGCAAGGGGTCACTCGAATCCCTCTCTTATACTGAAGTCTCACTTCATTACAAAAATACTTCTCCAGCACTACTTTCTAGGATTGAGATTGCAGTGGACCCTGTACACCTTAGCTCTGCTCCAAGACATTTCTGAGAAAAAGGAGAAATGCTTTTTGCCATGAAGAAATACAGGAAGTCTTAATTCCAGTCCACCTCCTCCTCTCACTGCTGGAGCAAGGACTGTGCAAATAGCATCAGATCAAACATTCAGGGCTAGGGCTGAGTGACAGGGACACAACAAGAAGAGTGGGCTAAGAAGAACAAAGTACAAGACTAGCAGTGGAAACACTGGCTATTACTACCATTTATTAATTTAGGTGCTAAGTATTTCTTGCTTAGTTTCAATATTCCTGGCTCCTTTTAACTTAAATGAAAACTCAAGTTTATTGTATCACTTTAATTAGCATAATGGCATTTTGATTAAAACTGTTAAGAACTGTATAAAGAACTGAGGCAGTAACATAAAGACAATCTCAAAAAATGCTTTTCATGTCTGTTTATCTATGAGGGTGTTTCTCTTGCAGCATCATTAAAAATGAAACAGTTACTGTTATATTTACCGCCATTATAATAATACTGTGACATGACCGAGGTTTCACTTCCATAGTATGTTACTGTCTGCCCTGGTCCTTATGCTATAGTGTACCACAATCTCACTTCTTCCAACAGCTATTTCTGGGGGCAGTAAATTGCACATGCAGGATTACCTAGGCTAAAATTACATTTCCTTAAGTCCTCTTCCAGCATTCGCTGCTATTCTTCCTGGTGTACTAAACTAATTCACAGTGAAGAACTGCAACCTGCTGTGCTAGCACAAAGATGACATCAATATACTGCTGAATCAGACTGGGAGACTGACAATTCCTCAAACTCCTTTACCACCAGAAACCCCACAGTGTGGATGCCTAGCCTGACTTGGTAATAGTATCAAAAAGTATCTGGAGAAGCTGAAAGCACTTCAGTATGATGAGTTTTGTCAGATGGTAACACTAATTTTATAACCAATTACTCCACAGTAGATGTTTCTCTCCCTGAAAGACACACAGGTATTAGTTTCCAATCACAGAAGCTGTACAATCCACTGCTTCTTCCATACATGTAGCTTGAAAGCTGCTCCAGTTCAAACGCAAGGGGGAAAAAGGAAGGGAGAAACAAGTACCCAATTCCCAAAGGTTTAGTAATAATTTCCAAGTACAGAGAAAACAAGTAGGACAGCTATTCTTTCAGGCTTTCAGCAGCAAAACTAACTCACTTTAGCACAATTTTGTCCAACTGTTAAAACTGAAATTTCATAGAAACTTTAGAAAAGACATGGCTAATGGCTTAAGTTTTATTCTAATTTTAATCTCTGAGTTTGTCAGCTATGAAAAAAACTTCAGTTTCTTGAAGTTATTTTTGAAATTTTGTTCATCTTTTCTATTTATTGCTTTTAGGCCAACGTATTTTGCGGGAAATCATGCTTTTTGTATTTTATTGCTCCTCTTAAAAATGTTCTTAATAAACTTACCTAACTTCCCCTGAAACCAGGATGTCAACCTTCCCTCAAATAATGTATAAACCGCAAGTTATTGCCCCATTATAGTGTGCCTTTATATCTCAGCACAACCTTCTATCCAAGTTTATCCTGATGTCACCAGTAACACATCAGCTAAACTTTTAAACTTGACTTCCTTCCCCCCCCCGTAGAGCTGGAGAATAGAAGTGTATCTGTTTTAAATGAGAACATTCTGTGGTCTCCATATGCACTCCCAATAAAGTCATCAGAAAGCCTCTGACAAGCATTTGGGGTTTTTTTTATTATTATTTTTGCTGGTAAAACATTTTTGTTGTCCTCTTCTTAAAAACAAAACCGCACCACGCTTCTGGACATAAAGCCATGAAAATATTCCTTGATCACATGCATGCAACCACCTGCTCCCATCTTATCAGCTCTTCCCCAACTCCTAGTAGCAAACATCTAAGTAGTCAGAAGGATCGAATACTCTCCCGCTTCCCCAGTAAGTATACACCTAGGTGTAAGAAGGTTAGGAAGAAGGGACTGTGTTTGGCTGATGAAGTGTTCACAGACAGGCTGGAGAATTATACTCACCTGGGGGATGAAGGGCTGGGTTGTTCCTGTCTTGAAGGAGACACCTACCTTACCTGGCTGCAGGTGCTGAAGATGCTTGTGGCAAGAAAGTGCCTGGGGCAGTAAGTGCCCATTCTCTGTGGGCAGGACCGTGCCTGCTCCTGCCTCTTGCTTAGTGTGAGAGATACTTACCCATGAGGGATAGTATTCTTCTTTACCATACTGAAAGCAGGAGCAAGCAGAGCAGGAGACAGCGGTGAAAGTGGGCACTGCAGCAAAGGAGAGAGAACCGCGCAGTTAACACGGTGCTAATCTCTTTCTCCATCAGTGGGCCTTTTCACAGGGCTGACTCTCAAGTAAAATAAACCAAGTAGTCAGCAGGAGCTTAAAGCCATCCTGAACAAGTTCTGCAGCTTGCAAGCTAGCCAATTTTCTGCACCACTACAGTACGGCAAGAGGGAAAGACAACAACTCACCTCTCCTCTCCGGGAGATCAAAAGAAACAGAGAGGAGAGGCAGCAGCTTTCTAACTCTTAGCAGCAGCGCTGCAGGGATGAAGATCTTCCTGGCGGTCCCTGTTCCCTCTCCTGTGGCTCGGAGTAGTCTGTTCTGCCCTTGTGCTTCCACAGCTACAACTCTTGTCTGAAGGAGAAGAAACTCCAGGCAGCTGAAAGAGGCGAGGCCAGCACCTCAGCAAGGGAAGGGCCATCACCTGCCCCACTCTAACCTAGAGTCCGATCCCGCCGCATCCGGGGCACCCTCAGCGCCCACCGATCTCAGCTGGACCGGGGCAGGGGGGAGAGGGGCGAGGAGAGCTCCCCCGCTCCGCGGGAGGCCCATGCCCGCCGCTCCAGAGAAGACGCTTGAGCCTGGCGTGAGGCTCCTTCCTCACAGCCGCACGTCCCCGCCAAGACAGGGAGCCCCGGACAGGACCGTCTCCGAAGCCGGCTCAGGACGCTGTCTTAGGGGGAGACGGCTGAGATCGGGCGAGGAAACGAGGAAAAGGAGACCAGGGGCGGGG